GGGGAGGGGGTTATGGATATTAAATGCAATATCCCATTTCTACCATCACAGGGTTGCTCGTGTTAGGGACTATGAAAAGGAGCAGAGCCAGCTTGCTGCTGAGGCAGTTACTGATCATCCTCTCAAAACTGGAGCAGTCATTGTGAGTATCATTAAACAATATAAACACTGTCAACTCTCTTGGCGCACAACAAAGACTTAGTGGTCCCTTATGGGAGTTGGTTGTCTCTGGGGAAACTAAAAAAAATAAGCTCATACTGAACTGATTACTGCGCTTTTCAAAAATACTCGAACTTTGAAGTTCAAAGCCGCCTTCAAATACAATTACATTTTTCGCTGCCATCAATTATAATATCATTAGTATCACAATCAACAAACCTTGAAACACAGAAACACACAAAACAGAACAAAATCGACCAATCACAAATCACAAACGTGACCTTTTGAACCCGTTGAGGTAAACTTCTGTTTCATGACGGGTCCTCTAAAATGATTGACAACAGTGAAAAACGCAAACATCAGTTTGCTGTAAAAAGACAACTGACAATAATATTTCACAGCGAATGGCGCTTGGAACTGTTAAAACTTTGTAGATAACATTTTGCATCAATTTAACAATCCACTTTTTTAACTACAGATCGTATTACAGCCTTCTTTTTTGTAAGTCAACTGCTATAATCTGTCGGTAAGCCTGGTCAGTGCTATTAACAAGTTAACTTTTGTGACATTCAAGCAATGTTTTTCTTTCCAACCATATCATGTTGTGTGGTCACTTAAAACAGAAATAGAAAACAAAAGAATATGTTGAATTTTTGGCCTTAAAAGTGGTCATGGTCACTTTAAATACCATATCTGAGAAGTGATGGCTTATGAGATAGTTTTTGAAACAGTATTTGACTGAGAAACAAAATGGTTATTAACAAAGTGGTCGCTTACTGGAAGTGGTTGCTTACAAGAAGTGGTCACTATGAGAGAGTTGACTGTGCAAGCATAATCTGAAATTGTGTGTAACTGTTTGTCAACAAAAGAGGCCTTGACTGTATATAGGCTTCATACATGTACATGTGTCTAGTCTTAATTTTAAAACTTTCCTTCGTTTATCGTGGAGGAGGTCATGCAGTTTTTAAGTAGCTGGAATATGAAATTGGAATTGCATTTGCTGTTTTGGTCTTCACTGTTGTAGACTAAGAGAATGTGGCATGTCTTTGTGGTTGAAAGATGTTAAGCTTCTTATCCAAAGCTTTTGGATTCAATGGCACTCTATGACGCTTGCTGGATATAATGTTGCTCAGTAGTCCCAAATTCAAATTCCCCAAACCAAACATGTAAATCAGGGAATTGTCATTTGCTAACTATGGCGCAAGATGTAGTTAAAATGGATGACCGGTTTTTACGGAAAGTCCAGTTGGCTAATTGATGAAAAGGGTTAACATTGACCTTTGATTGTCTCCTAAGTGAACCATTTCCCGTATCAACTTGATTCATAAAAAAACCTGGCAAGACCAAAGTCCTGACGTGGACCTGGGCTAACTACAGTTTAAGAAAAATAAATACAAGATGAGCTGCAAAAATATTTTACATTCAATTAAATTAAAGTTAAAATCTAAAATCCAAAATTAACATCAATAACTATGGATCTAAAAATATTTGAAATCCATAAACTTGAATGAGATGCTACAAGTCAGGCTTTCTCAAAACTGATCGAGTTTAGTAAGTTCTTATTTTCCCTTGTAGACCTCCTGAATGAGACAAGACTAGAAATTTTTTTCTAGGACTCAGGAGGACTCAGGAGGTTCCAGCACAAGGCAGCTCTACTGTGCTTGAGGGATGATCTGCCAATTTCAGTTCTTGGCCTAGGAACCTCAATATTTGCAGACGTCCTAAAATTAAGATGAAAATTAGACTTAGATTTAACTATCAAATCTCTAAGAGGTTCTATGGTTTAGATATTAAAACTAATGGTAATAATAACAGTCTCTTAATGCAAAACTGAATGATGGGGTTCCAGAGAAGTAAAGTCCTGACTGCAGCACTGTGGATGTCTCTGGGTAAACTGTAAATAATTTTAGTTGCCCTTAAGTGAATGCGATCAATACCTAATAACAATTGAGAACAAGAGCCCCAGACTACAATATCATATAAACCACTTGGTGCAATTCTGCTATAGCAAATGGTTTGCAAGGCTGGCTTCGGTAAAACTTAATCCATTGAAGACTGCAACTTTCTTGTTGAAAGAGTCACAAACATTCTTAGTTCGCTCTTGCCATGAGAGCCTATTATCGATTGTTAGCCCAAGGCATTCACATGATACTTTGTATTCATTGTATTATATTTATGATTGCCATATCTCATGGTAGGGGGCCAACAAAGGTCTGTCTGGAGTTTAGCATCTAGCTTCAGTTTTAGACTCATGAGCTACAAGTTTGTTTGACAAACACCCAGGTTCATCAATGTTCTTGCCAAGGGTGTAGATGGTCGTATCATCAGCAAACAAATATAACTCCCCATTTATTGTTGATTCTGCAAGTTCATTTACAAACATTGAGAACAATTTAGGCCCTAAATTATATTGAACCTTGGATTCTGTCTTATTTCCTGAAATTTGAACAAACTTCTGATGCATAAACATATAGTCAGAAAGCCAAGAAAGTAGATTGCCTGATATACCAGTTGCCTTTAGTTTTTTCCAGTGAAATTGTGTGGTTTACAGTGTCAAACGCTTTCCGGAAATCGATGAAAAGCACACCCACTTTTAGACCATTATCCATAGCACTTTTCCATGTTTCTGTCAGGTGGGGTAACAGACTTAGAAGTTCTTCTAAAATCCTCACTGCCTATGACTTAACAAGCCGTGTGTCTCCTGGTGGTTGTATAGGGTGTCACAAACAACATCTTCTAAGATCTTTCGGAGAATGCTGAGGAGGGATATAGGTGTCCATGGTAATTGTTAACGTCGGTTGGTGAGCCTTTCTTAAAGATGAGATTAACTTTAATATGACAATTTCCAGTTCAAAGGAAAAAATGAGTCACTCAGACTCTTGCTAAAAATTGTTAAGAGACTGTGAGTACCAGAGTCACCAACCAGGGATAGATCTCTCCAGGATACATTATAAGGGATGGTAGCCTTCTTGGGGTTAGCAGCTTTCATTAGCTTAACCTTTACAAGTTCCCAGGAAAAATCAACATTGTCCTTGGTTGGAGTGATTCTGTCAATGAAGGTGTTTAGAGATGAAATGTCCAGAGGATCAAGCTGCTTAGTCAGATCTTTGCTGATATTAACAAAAAAGTCATCAAAATATTCAGCTGTAGCTAGGTTGTGGGTTAATAACTCCTCATTGGGATCAGATTTTGGACCAATGCTCTTGGCCTTGTGCGTTCTCAAGACTTAATTTGTCAGTCTCCAAAATTCACCAGGGTTGGATGTTTCCTCAAATGATATTTTCTTTGCTGTGTTTCTCTTCTCTTTATACAACTTTCATTTCTTAGGATCGCAATATAATTTTGATTCTTCATTCATTATAGCCAGATTGTATTTGATTGTAAAGTTTGGCTTTTTCCTCTGGCAGAAGCCAAGTTGCCAATTTGGCAGGGTGGACTGATCATGTAATTTCTTTTTTTAAAGTCTCAAAAATAAATACAACAAAAAAAGATTTGTGCAATGATTGGATGTGTGCAACAAAAGTTAATTTAATTCAAATATTTCCTTTTTTTTTGCAGAGTATTGAAAGCCCACTTAAGAAGTTGAATGCTGCATCTCCCAGCGCATCCAAAGCATCATTTTCTGCAGATCCACTGAGTTTGATTCAAGTTAAAGCTGATACGTTTGATGGCCTTGACCCGCTTTCCATGTTTGCAGCTCAGGAGGCTTCATCAAATAAAACCGCTGCAGTGGCTACTTCTGCCTCAGTGACCACAAAAGAAAAGGTACATGTACATCTGTAAATGTGGAATATTATAATTATTATTATGGTTTTAGAAGCCATCTTGTCAGGTTTGGCAACCACATGAGAAATAACAGTGTTTTATCATTTATGAGGACCTAATGTCGATAATTTCCGTAAAACAGCCGTTCTGAAAATAAATAAATTGTAAACTAAAGCTACACAAATTTTAGGCACCATACCTGTGGTTAAATTTCTCCACTCGCTTGCTTTAGATTTTCCATATATTATTTGTCTGCAACTTTTCCCAGGAAATTTTAGTTGGCAGGAAGATTAATTTTTACAGACAAATGTATGGAAAATTTCAAAAAGTCAGGTTCTAGCGCAGGTAATGCACTCAAATTTTTCAGTAGAATCCTTAGGAGTGAAGCTTTAGTTTACAATAATTTCTTTTTTCAGAACAGCTGTCTTACGGAAATTATGTATTTGACATTAGATTCTCATACAAACACTGTAAAATTCCCAGGAGCCAATGGGTTAAATAAAAATGTCAAATAATAGTCAGGCATAAAATAATTATATACATCATCATCCTTATTTTTTGCAGTCATCTTTACCCAAGCGAGGAGCCAACACAAAAGAAAGTGAGGACGACTTCTTTGAGCCTTGGTCTAGCAAAAGATCAGGCATTCTAGCAAAATACACAACATCAGAGAAGCTTTCTATTACTACAGTAAGTTATGTTACTTTCAAGTTATTTTAAAATTGTCTCTGGTGGTGGCGATACAAAGAAAGTTTAATTTTCTTTTAATTTGAAAGGCAAAAAGCATCAGCAGCTAAAACAACAAAATCTAAATAATGTTATTGGTCAATATTTAGCATTTCTTAAGACATCTATTGTTTCGGGTAAAAATAATATTATTCATCTTCCTTAATAATATTACCAAAACGCCCTTTCGAAATTGTTCAATCTTAGGGTTATAACTCGGATCTACATTTAAAGTACATTACACAAAGCCAGGATAAAATGAAAATGTTTTCATTTTATTTTCCTTTTCTTTAGAGTTTCTTGTCATCCAGTGATAAAGATAAATGTAAGTAAAATGACTTTGACTTAAGTAAATGAACCAAAAAAAAAGACAAGTGCCAGTTTTCTCTCTCACACAACCACTGGCTGAATAGTCAAAGGATTAGAGAGGTGAGATTGGATGTTAGCATATAAAGGTGCACTATGCAGCCACTTCAGTCCACGTCTGATCTCACTTCGCCCACCCAGACCAATTATTGTACTGAAGTCAGATAGACAGTGACACAGAGGCCTGGGCTCCTGCTCTTTCTGAACAATGCCAATGCCTTTCTGACTGATGTGTAAGGATGGAGGAGAGACGAGAGAAGGCTAATGGCTTATTGTCACTTTTCCATGTTGGGATCATCCAAACTGAGAGTTTGTTTTAGTAATCATAGCTAGTATGATTTTAACACTTTTTTTAAGACCTTGGTTGGTGGTCTGGCTGGGCTTTGACCTCCTAATCAGCAGACCAGCACTCTAACAACTGAGCTGACTGTTGGACAGCAGTTTTGCCACAATTATCTGCCAAATTTAATGTCTGTAATTTTGCTTTTCTTAAGACATCCATCCTCTTTCTGCAGTTTTAATTTCATTAATTATTGTGACATGATTTATGATCTTTGTTGATCCAAAAAGAGGATTTCCTTGGAGGAGATATTGTTCTTAGTAAAATTATGTAAATTGCAACTTAACATAATTGACATTTTATTTACTAATTACTGATGTCATTACTAATGATTTATTAGACAGAAATCATGAAAGATGATTGTTTTGGTATTAATAATTTTTTTCTATTATTTTGACATCTTTCTTTTTCAGTTGTTATCAAGCAGCAAACAACAGTCACAGATAAAGTGAAACACAGGCTGGAACAGCTGGATGACTTTGAAGAAGTAAGCAATCCAAGATTTAAAACTCATCATAAACAAGAATTAGAGCCTTCTCATTCTGTTAAAGTGTTTTTAATCATCTTTCAGATGCATCTTAATTGTTTTTCTTTTTTTCAAATCTAATATACCATTTTAAATTGACTACAGTTGGGACCATAATGATTGTTCTTTTTTTTTTTTCATTTTTTTTATTCCAAGGGTTCTGTCAAAGAAATGCTGAATCTTAGTCAACAGGATTATGTCAAGAGAATTGAAGAGCTGAATCAGGTAATGTTATGGACTACTCTAATGTAAACTGAGCCGCAATGACTTATAATTGACGGTTCTACTGGGCGTGTTCCATCTTGTGGTGTTGTCTTCCCGCTCTCAAAGTGTACTTTGACCCCTTCTTTAAATCTTTACGCTACCTCAATTTTTCCTGTCAAATTTTTAGACCAGTTATGAATTTGCATGATCTATTTCACGTTAAGACATGTAATAGGGAAAATGAAGAGTAACGACTTGTTTGATGTTTTGATATACTCAATATCATAATTATATGGAAAAATGTGTTTAAAAAAGTTGACTTTGAATAATAGGGGCATAGCCACCTGTACACACGGTGCATGCATGTGTGTCTGAACAAATCTTGGAGGGCTGGAGGAGGAGGGGGGGAGGAGGATGTAGAAAATTGTGCATAGCCAGGCTGGCTAGCAGGCTACTCCCCTGAATAATTGAATATCATTAGATGGCATTCCTTTGTGCTTGATATCATGAAAATTTAAAAAGTGCTGATAGAACAGTTATGCGCAAATCAAATCTGATCACTGATTTAGTGATTGTTTCATCTCCTGCATAAACTACAAATTTTTGTGAACAAGGTAGTCAAGTTTTCAAGTTTATTCTGGCTCTTTTAGATGGCCCAAAAATGTTATCAGCAGCTTAGTAGATGTTGGAAACAGAAAAGTATCAAATAATACTATGTATACTGTACTCTTAATTTTTCTTGTGATTATTTCACTGGCCTAAACCATTCTCCACCCAGGTTGTTAACGAGCCTTCCACAAATATCTACCCTTGAACTAATATGAATTGTTTTGTTGGCTGTGAACAGGCTTTAATTTCAGCTTGGGAATCAGATCAGAGAGTGAAGGCTTTAAAGATTGCTATTCAGGTTAGTTTAGGTGTGGTTAGTCCAGCTCCTAATCCAGTTATCTGTATTTTGATGTAAGTGAGCAGCTGCAAGCATGGACACCTTCTGTTATCCTTTATGAGGACATTCGCTGATGGTACAGTGATAGCTTGGATTTACTAACAAAATTTCCTAATTAGTCTCAAGCCAAAAATATTCAAACCTTTAAGCCTCAAAACTAATGGAAAAACTCTCCAGCTGAGACTGTAGTTTAAAATTTACAGTATCTTACTAGTATGCAGCATTGTAAGGTCATTTTGGTAGCATTAACAACAAACCTGGAAAACAAATAAACAATTGAACAAGTTGAGTCAACCAGGCTGAGTTTTTGTAGCATGCCAGACTTACAGTCTGGAGGTCTTGGGTTTTACCTGTTGCTTTGAGGACTGGTTGTGGTGAGTTTCTGAGCTCCTCAGTCATGCATTTCTTGGCAAGTAGTACAGGGTGTATGCCTTCTACCAGTTAAGATATTTAACCTTGTTAATTTAATTTGGAATTATTTTGTTCAACATTTTTTGCCTTACTTGACTAGATGTACTGTACTTACTGGTATTTCTATTTTATATTGTTGTATTTCATTTGCCGGCAGTGTGCTAAGCTTCTTGCGGATGTGTCTGTAATTCAGTTTTATCCCAGCAAATTTGTTCTTGTTACAGACATCTTGGATACATTTGGTGAGTTTGTAATCAGCAGGAATTCCCTTAGCTCAGTAGCCGGAATGATGGTCAGTGTGAAATATAAACTTGCACCGAGCAAATTTCCAATTTAGTCACCAATGTTTTTTGATTGGTGACTAAACAGACACATAGCAAATTGAGTTATTGTGCAAACATTTTCAAAACTCCAAAACATCCGCTTTCATATATATTTTTATTCACGATTCACGCTGGTGATTTTTTGTATTTTTATATTCCAATTGTCATGATCAAATCTGTTCACCATATTTGACATCCCAAAATAAAGATATTTTCTCTTTGAAATCAGGCGCTGGTGTGTCTGTTCTTTGACAGGTCGTAGGTACAGCTGTAATATTAATGCCCATCGAATAAACATTGTATTAACTTGTATTAGATTCTAACTGGTATGCAACCAGTGCTTTTCCTCTGCAACTTCTTCATTTGAATGTGCGGGCTTCTTCAATGTATGTCATGTTAACTGCTCTTTGCATTGTAAATCTTAAATCAAGTGACTTTGTTTAATGGTTGCAGGGAAGCTTGTGTATGAAAGAATATTCCGCAAATCCAGCACTTTTATGCCAGGAAGTAATATGCCAACCATGCTTCCAGGTAGGAAAAAATTAATGGTCTGTAATAATATTGGTATCAGTATTATTAATTATATAAAAAGAAAGACAAGTCTTTATTTTGTCTGTGAGCAATGTTTATGCTTCTTTTGGTGAATGGCTCTTTAACTGAGTCATGTTCTGGCTGCATGTCTTCTGTTAGCGCTGAAGTGACTAACGTTCCATCGCAGGTCACCTTATTTTAATGTTTTGTCTTAAGATACATGTATTGTCTTTATCTTTTCCCAGAACTTTGTTTTTACTATCCAGTTTAATTTTTAATGTTTAACGGCATTACATCCATTATTTTTTGTTTGTCAGAAAATTTCACCCCTGACCAGGTACCCGACTCTGCTAAGGAAACCTGTCGAAACTGGTTTTACAAGATTGCCTCAGTGCGGGAACTTATCCCTCGATTGTATCCTGTTCAAACAATACTTTTGAGTACCTTTCACTACAAATTAGTACTTGGAGACAAAGCCATTTTACCTTCACTCTGATACTGCCAGTTTTTAAAACAATATTTGATTATAAGGTAAAAACGAAGTATGAATCGCATTTCTTTTGTTTCCAAGAAGGAAAAAGCACAGCGCCTGGGACTGAATACAGGGAATGTCAGGGAGTGTTTAACACTCCAAGAAAAATTCTTCAAGTAGCAATTTTGCGCATTTTTTTTAACCCCTTCCACCATTTTTTGGAACAAACATGCACTTATTTTGTTGGAACATGATTTCTGTTTACTGGTTATTCAGTCTTGATAACTTACCTTGACTTATTGAAGCTATGTGGAGACGGCAATCCTGAAATGCTACAATTTCTTAACATCTGGGTAAGTTGCGCCCTTAAATTGTTTTACGTGTACCAAAAAAAAGTCATTATTGCTCTATAGTATTGAATGGCTTTTTTAGCTGGATTGCAAACTGTACTATGAGTCGTCATGTTCTTGTAATTTCAGAGAGTTCTCACAGGGTCTTGTTCGTCTCACAAAGATGATTCGCGGCATTGGTGATCCTCTTGTGGCGATATATGCTAGGACCTATATCTGCAGAGTGAGTGCAGTATCTTACACGTTTATTTAACATTTAGGTATTTATACCAAATATTCAAGTTCGAAGGATACTTTACAACCTACTCCGATAACGATCCAGTTTATTTTAATTGCGATCGTTTTAGATATAATAAAGAAAAAATGGAATCAAATGCTTAGTAGTTTGCTTCATGTAATATTGAGCTCCTTAATGGAACTGCGTCTGAAATGATCTTTGATTTTGTCAGGTTGGTATACTCGTCGCACCTGATGTTCGTGATCATCTGATTGAGAACCTTTTCAGCTTCATCGTCAGTTATAAACAGGTATTAAATTACGCATAGCCAACACGCTCAAGTTAGTAGCCTGCCGCTGCGTAACTAGCTTTTCCTCTCGAGTTACTGTACGAAAGCTGAAACGAGAGCAAAACAAGTAAATGAAAGGGGGAGGGGAGGGGAGAGAAGGAAACGCTTGCCAGTGGGGTTTGCAGGCAAGCGTTTCTTCTTCGCCCCTCCCCCTCCCCCTACCTATCTCACTCCAACTTTCGCTCAATAACTCCAGTGGAAGCGCGGCTTGCCACGCGGGCTACAAAAAAAGTGGTCATTCACAGTACAATAAACAAAGGAGCCGTTGAGATCTTAAAGCAAGTGTAGTCGGTGCAAAATCCTGCAGGAAGGATCGCGCGAGAATATTACTGTTGGGTATGGTTTTCCTCGGAAACAAATTATACTTTGTCGAAAATGTTATCCTATCCTTTCTTTTTTATCATTATCATTTTTAGCTTCAGAGCGATACAGTACAGAATATCCTTGCTGAACAACGACTTGGTGAGTACAAGCGATAGCCAGAGGGAATGGTAACAAAAACTCGGCATTATTGAGAAACCACAACCACGAGCGATGCCATTTATAGAAGACTATAAAAGACAATTTTTTTACTGTTAGCCCTTTTCCGATGTTTTGAAGTAAATTCAGCTGGGCTTGACTTTCGGTCTGCAACTTAGTCCAGGGCATCTACCATGACTAAAGGTCTCGTTACCAATGATAACATCGCTTGTTCACTAGAGGCAATAGGCGACGGCAGAAGCAAAGAAAACGTCGGCAAAGCATCGGACGTTTGGCTGATAATACAAGGGCAATGTTTGATTTCTTTTTCTTATCTTCGATACAGTCCTTGTTGAGTATTCAGACTAAAGGATCTGCTTACAGTTTACAAGTTGAGCAAGTTGGAATGATGGTGATGAGTTCAGTTGAAGAGACGCTTGTCAATATTTCGTTACTGTCGTCCTCGTCGCCTCTTGAGAAGGGAGGGATCGTACTGGACTGGATCAACCCTGTAACCCCGTTATTTAGTGAGTTACAAGGGTTGATCCCGCTATCTGGCCCGATCTTGGTTTTGTTTGGTATGTCTATAAAATACTTTTGGACATGTTGGCCGGTAAAGACAACATTGTTTTCCTTGTGTAATTTCAGAGATGCCTCAGTACCTTCAGCTGTATCCACCTGCTTTAGACTGGATCTTACAGTGTATTGCACAAAAGAGCCCTGAAGTAAGTCACATTGCAAACTGCTTTTGTTTGATCCCCCTTGCACAATTTCTAGACGACTTTATTACTATCGCAGGCATAAACCATCATCATTCTAGACACCTATGAGTTTTCTTGAAAATTCAACAAAAATTTTTAAAAAAACAATTAAGTAATGGTTAAAAGGGCCGGAGATATTGAACTAAAGTGTGCTTGTTTGCTTATTTAACCAGTCCACCCTTACCGATATTTTGAATCGCTGTAAGCAAGAATGTAACAGGTCAGTAAACCATCTGCTCGTGCGGTTCAGCTGTTTGCTTGATCTGTTCCAGGTTTCCCCCTCAAGTTTTGTGTTTTTCTTTTTATCTCAGTGCTTTGCTGTTAAACTCGATTATCACAGCATTCAAACCAGAATACATTGCAGAAAGGTACGTATACAGTTTACTCCATAGACCGCTGCGGACTGCTTGTTGTGAGACACCTAAATACTCGGAGAGACTGTAGCGTGCGAACGGAGGACTTTCTTCGCCAGATCCCCTCACAATACAGTAATTCTACCCGTTTGCTTGAGTGTCAAGGAAGGGTTGAAAAAAAGAAGATATCTAAAAAAGGTAGTAGGTCAACACCAAAGGGGTAAATGGGATCAAGCAAGACACTTTTACTGTCAACCACCTATTATTAACGTAGTGTTGTGGTATTCAGAGTATTTTTTTTATTTCGCTCTTTAACACACAAGATACTGCGTACAGGTTAATTTACCTTCAGTTTTGCAGCACTAAGAGAACCAAACTATCCGCGTGACTTGTGTAACTATTTTTCAATACAGGGCTTTGCAGTTCACTGAACTCATCAGGAATTGTGAGGAAGCAGGTTTTCCAAAGGTAACTGTGACATTTTTGCTTGTTACAAATGCGGTGTCTTCGATTCCTTTTCCAAGAGTAGATAAAAAGATGAAGGCATTGTATAACATGTTTTGCTTTCCACAAACAAAGTTATAAGAAGGCAGTGACACGGTAGCATTTGGCACACAAGCCATTAATCAGTTAAAACACACAGCCTGATTAACACAAAAACTACAGACTTGGTTTATTAACTGTTTTAATTGTTATTTTGTTTATACTTAGCACCACCTTTACAGATCTCTTGGACTGAATTTAAGTCTTTGCGATCCTCCTGAATCACAGAGGTTACAAATTTTGAGCGAGGTAATTTACGTGTGATTGATTTTCAACTTCCATGTGTGCCACTGTTAGAAAAACGCTGAAAAGTTTGTCGTTTGCTCATTAGCCATCTTAACTTTCCGAGAGTTTTTCTGCGTGTTTGTTGTTTTAATATTCAGTTTAAAAACATGCATGTTAAAAAAGAAACATGTTATTTTTGGTGGCTTGTGACGTGCAATTACGGGCAAAAATTGAACGAATAGACGTGAGTTCTTTCGAGAGCGATAAGAGTTGAGGAGATACCTCAAGTGTGATGTCAGGCTGCTACTCCGCCGGTCCAGCAGTCGGTATTTACTAGCCCTGAACTCTTTCTGTTCTAATTTAACTAAGACCACTTTGACAATGCATTTTGTCATAATCTGTGTACAATATGAATTAATCAAGCACGTTGTTTCTGTTAGGTCTGGAAAGTGGTGATGAAAATGAAAGACCCGGCGGTGAGTTTGACTTCCTTTGACCAGCAAGGCTTGTTATCATGAAACACTTATGTTTTATTAAGTCATAACAAACAGTCTCAAGTGGAATAAATTCGTATCACGACAAATTTCCTGATCCTGTTTTATAAAAACGACCAGTAGACGCAGAAGAGTTGATTATTCCTTCAATTCTCCCCAGAACTACATCAGCTGCGCAGAGGCCTGGATCGAGTACGTCTGTAAGCACTTCACAGTAAGTAACCAGCTACTGCCTGATTCTGTGCATTGGCCGATTTTTATCACTTGTTTGCCCCCTGAGAATCCACGTGACATTGCTCTTATCCCGTCAGTCCTTAAGCGCGTGTAAAGATGGTGAGTGTTGTGAATAAGGTCTATTGAAGATGATTTGGCGGAACCCAGTAAATGTAATTAAGGTTTTAAATTTTTTAGAGTATTTCACAGGGGCGTAGCCAGGATTTTTCAAAGGGGGGGTCACAGCAGGGACACCATCCGGGGATCGCCGACTATATATGGTTTATAGCGCTGCTCTCCCTCGTGTATCAGCGGGCTCAGTTGTATTATCGCGGCATGAAGGCCCATATTAACAAGAGCCGTTGACGAAAATACTTTACAAAAAAACAAATTTTAAAAAAGTGGGCTTTTAACAATGGCTTTTACTGCGAAGATATTGTCATGGCGTTTTCGCCACCTGAATATTGTAGGTTGTTTGCTCAAAAGAAGGCCTACCAAGGGGAGGTCACGGGCACCCCAGGACCCCCCCCCCTATCTACGCCCCTGTTTCATCCCTGATGAATTAGTAACACAGTGCATAAATAAAGATTACCTACCTACCTACCTATTTTAACATCGATGGAGGTCAGCATGTTTTAGCTTGTTTTAAACTATGAATTATTTTGAATGAATAGTAAAACAATTATTGAATTCGGCTTTTGTATCATCTGAAAAATTATGGAGTTCTCGGAGGGTGTTATCCGCCTCCGTCGGGTGTAATGGGCCTCGGCGGATAACGTCTTTCGTGAGGTCCATAATTCTTAAGTTGATATTCAGCCTCATCCAATTATTGTTAATTATCCAGCCAAATTTGCCAGAAGGATACTGTCTTTTTATTTGACATTGCAAAATTGACGCGATTGCCTTCATAAAGTTCAATAAAAGGACGAGGACCGTATAATCTTTACCCAGTTTTGTTGGTTAGCGTTGTAGTACATAACTGAGGAGGTGTTCCCAGAAGAGAGGGCATAAACGAGCCGGCAGTCGGTATTGTTTCACTTATCATAAGCGTAGCCAAAAAGGTAACAGAAAGGGCATTAAAAGCATCCTTGTTGTTACCTAAGTAGCTATCTGAGCAGTAAGTACTGGAAAAGTTCGTTTATAGTAATTGCTCGTCAGCCCCGTCTGCAACCCTGCTTAGCACACATGTTCTATTCAGGACGTGTAGACAGGTCGTCTAACACTCGTAACTATTACCATGTGTCAGTAAAGGCTATTGATTGAATGATTGAGTGAGTGAAATGTGCAGCATTTCAGAAACTCCATTCTTTATTTTTGAAACGAAGACATTTCGAAATAAATCTTATGGTTAATTTAATTTATTTACTTTACTTCCTTTGTTCTCTTTAAAAGAAACGCGAGATAAACACCCTCCTCGGTGACGTTGTCAAGCATATGACACCAGAAAGAGCATTTGAACATCACTATCCTCAGGTAAATAATTATGTTCTATATGAGTATCTCTTCTTAGAGATTTCAGTGCTTCGGCTCGCATATATAAACGGTGCATTCCATTAATTTTGTTTTCAGCTCCAAGCCATCATGTCCAAAGTACTGGATCACATGCATGACTTTTCAGTTCTAGTTTCTATGGTGAGTGACTTCTTTCTCGTAGTTCTTTCAGAAAGTCTTAATTTATATGAACGTGCCTTATGGTAAGAGTTGTAACGAATGGTAACAGCGCTGGGTCAAGGCGGTCATGCTGGTCTACCCTTACAATGAACAATTAGTGGATAAGTCAGGGAATTAGTATGACTAAAGAAATGATTCAGATCGAGAAGGATGTTTTACTATTGAACGATTGAAGTATATCTTCCAGTTTGGTCGGCTTTAGGCGTCATGAAAAATCAGCCGGGGTATTAAAAATAGAAAGAAATGGAGAAATATTTCAGTGGAATAGTGATATTAAGTGTTTGCACAGAGCAAAGCATATTTCCCAGACGGAAGAGATTTTATTGTTTGAATGTCTATGTTGAGGTTCAATTTTATCCTTGATTTAAATTTTCTAGTTTGTTTTACAATCATTTTCATACATTACCATACCCTAAAACAAAGGGAAATAAGATTTAATCCAATGATAAAATTGAACCACAACATGTACACCGACTTGAAAACCGTGACATTATTTGAATTCGCCCTAGACTGAATTTGTTTGTTTGTTTGTTTGCTTTTTAATTGTAGGACAAATTTCTGCCTTTCTTGGATATGTTCCAGAAAGAATCTATCAAAGTAGACGTGTGTAAAGTGATCGTGGAGGCATTCGTGAAGTGAGTAGCTCATACAGGGCAATGTCTACATTTTTAATCAGGTTGTTGGCTATCACAGTTTAGCTTCAGTTTTCATTTTCAATAAGCCTTTTTATTGCAAACTACAAATCTAAGCTAGTGTCATAACCGGCGGTTTCCCGTTTGCTGAGAGCTTCGCTGTAATGCGTACTAGTACAGTTAATGGCCTGGTACCGATCAACGCTTGAATCTCTCTTCCAGATCACGTTTTTAAAAGTCAACAAGTTTGACTTACAATTTAAACTTGTAAGAACTTTTATGCTGCTTCTTTGCTTAACTTGAATAACCCGCTTAATTTTTAATCATTTTGTTTTTTTGTATTTGTTTGTCTTTTTTTACCTATAATGGTGTGAAACTTGTGATATGTCGCCTTTGATGTGTAGATTGTAGATGTAGATTTTTAAAAAACCTTAAAGGCTCTTGCGATTCCTCGTCCACGAGAAATAGAAAGGACTGGAAACAAGGATAATAAAACAAACAAAAGTGACGATGAGCAAAAGCTACAAAAACGTATAATAAAACACTTTCTCATTGTACAGGATTAACAGTTATATTGTTAGTAAACGTGATTGTGTTGCAGATATCAAGAGGGGACCTCTGACGACCCAGTTGTGGTGAATGCCTTGTTGTTTATCTGTAAAACATTGCATGACTCTGTCAAGTAAGTAACAAAGAAAGTTCACGGTAATATATAAAATGTTAGCTTGGACATGTACATAGTGGCTTGTCTTAAAGGTACACCATTTTATAGTGCAGTGTCTTTTAATCAGCCTCGGCCACGTTTAAATGGCCAGGAAGAATTAAATATGGCGTTTTTCATGTGCTTGCCAGTTCAGAACAGGACAGGAAAATCTGTAAATAATAACTTTGTTGTCGCTGCCTGGCACTGATGGCAGTGACGTCACTGTCAAGCTTGAACCTTATCCCGGTACCTTATCTTAATTGCCTTGTACATTCAAGTTTCCACAACTGAATTGAAAACAAAACGCTATTCTGAATAAAAGTAAATTTCAATCAGTTTGTATTATATTCGATTTTAAGCCTCCAAGCACTGTTGTTCCGTTATTTCCAAAGAGAGGCCATGTTGTATTCAAGGTGTCTTTTTATTTGACATTGCAAAATTGACGCGATTGCCTTCATAAAGTTCAATAAAAGGACGAGGACCGTATAATCTTTACCCAGTTTTGTTGGTTAGCGTTGTAGTACATAACTGAGGAGGTGTTCCCAGAAGAGAGGGCATAAACGAGCCGGCAGTCGGTATTGTTTCACTTATCATAAGCGTAGCCAAAAAGGTAACAGAAAGGGCATTAAAAGCATCCTTGTTGTTACCTAAGTAGCTATCTGAGCAGTAAGTACTGGAAAAGTTCGTTTATAGTAATTGCTCGTCAGCCCCGTCTGCAACCCTGCTTAGCACACATGTTCTATTCAGGACGTGTAGACAGGTCGTCTAACACTCGTAACTATTACCATGTGTCAGTAAAGGCTATTGATTGAATGATTGAGTGAGTGAAATGTGCAGCATTTCAGAAACTCCATTCTTTATTTTTGAAACGAAGACATTTCGAAATAAATCTTATGGTTAATTTAATTTATTTACTTTACTTCCTTTGTTCTCTTTAAAAGAAACGCGAGATAAACACCCTCCTCGGTGACGTTGTCAAGCATATGACACCAGAAAGAGCATTTGAACATCACTATCCTCAGGTAAATAATTATGTTCTATATGAGTATCTCTTCTTAGAGATTTCAGTGCTTCGGCTCGCATATATAAACGGTGCATTCCATTAATTTTGTTTTCAGCTCCAAGCCATCATGTCCAAAGTACTGGATCACATGCATGACTTTTCAGTTCTAGTTTCTATGGTGAGTGACTTCTTTCTCGTAGTTCTTTCAGAAAGTCTTAATTTATATGAACGTGCTTTATGGTAAGAGTTGTAACGAATGGTAACAGCGCTGGGTCAAGGCGGTCATGCTGGTCTACCCTTACAATGAACAATTAGTGGATAAGTCAGGGAATTAGTATGACTAAAGAAATGATGCAGATCGAGAAGGATGTTTTACTATTGAACGATTGAAGTATATCTTCCAGTTTGGTCGGCTTTAGGCGTCATGAAAAATCAGCCGGGGTATTAAAAATAGAAAGAAATGGAGAAATATTTCAGTGGAATAGTGATATTAAGTGTTTGCACAGAACAAAGCATATTTCCCAGACGGAAGAGATTTTATTGTTTGAATGTCTATGTTGAGGTTCAATTTTATCCTTGATTTAAATTTTCTAGTTTGTTTTACAATCATTTTCATACATTACCATACCCTAAAACAAAGGGAAATAAGATTTAATCCAATGATAAAATTGAACCACAACATGTACACCGACTTGAAAACCGTGACATTATTTGAATTCGCCCTAGACTGAATTTGTTTGTTTGTTTGTTTGTTTGCTTTTTAATTGTAGGACAAATTTCTGCCTTTCTTGGATATGTTCCAGAAAGAATCTATCAAAGTAGACGTGTGTAAAGTGATCGTGGAGGCATTCGTGAAGTGAGTAGCTCATACAGGGCAATGTCTACATTTTTAATCAGGTTGTTGGCTATCACAGTTTAGCTTCAGTTTTCATTTTCAATAAGCCTTTTTATTGCAAACTACAAATCTAAGCTAGTGTCATAACCGGCGGTTTCCCGTTGGTGAGAGCTTCGCTGTAATGCGTACTAGTACAGTTAATGGCCTGCTACCGATCAACGCTTGAATCTCTCTTCCAGATCACGTTTTTAAAAGTCAACAAGTTTGACTTACAATTTAAACTTGTAAGAACTTTTATGCTGCTTATTTGCTTAACTTGAATAACCCGCTTAATTTTTAATCAGTTTGTTTTTTTGTATTTGTTTGTCTTTTTTTACCTATAATGGTGTGAAACTTGTGATATGTCGCCTTTGATGTGTAGATTGTAGATATAGATTTTTAAAAAACCTTAAAGGCTCTTGCGATTCCTCGTCCACGAGAAATAGAAAGGACTGGAAACAAGGATAATAAAACAAACAAAAGTGACGATGAGCAAAAGCTACAAAAACGTATAATAAAACACTTTCTCATTGTACAGGATTAACAGTTATATTGTTAGTAAACGTGATTGTGTTGCAGATATCAAGAGGGGACCTCTGACGACCCAGTTGTGGTGAATGCCTTGTTGTTTATCTGTAAAACATTGCATGACTCTGTCAAGTAAGTAACAAAGAAAGTTCACGGTAATATATAAAATGTTAGCTTGGACATGTACATAGTGGCTTGTCTTAAAGGTACACCATTTTATAGTGCAGTGTCTTTTAATCAGCCTCGGCCACGTTTAAATGGCCAGGAAGAATTAAATTTGGCGTTTTTCATGTGCTTGCCAGTTCAGAACAGGACAGGAAAATCTGTAAATAATAACTTTGTTGTCGCTGCCTGGCACTGATGGCAGTGACGTCACTGTCAAGCTTGAACCTTACCCCGGTACCTTATCTTAATTGCCTTGTACATTCAAGTTTCTACAACTGAATTGAAAACAAAACGCTATTCTGAATAAAAGTAAATTTCAATCAGTTTGTATTATATTCGATTTTAAGCCTCCAAGCACTGTTGTTCCGTTATTTCCAAAGAGAGGCCATGTTGTATTCAAGGCTTAGATGTTGTGCCGTTTTACGGTTGATTTTTCTTTAGTAACTCTGATTTTATGTAACGTTATGGACTTACATGGGCATTGATTGTATTTTTCTCACGTGCTATAGCTTGTAGTGTAAACCCGATTGTAAACCCCACTTTTCTTAAAGTCCAGATTTTTCTGGAGCACATTTTATAGTCCTTTTCTTTTATTTTAACAGCGCTTTAACTCTTATTGACGAGAAAAGGCTTCTTGGTCATCTTATCACTGGATTTCTGCGTAAGGTAGGTGTGTTGAATGCGCCTTGATGACTTGTTCTTACTGATGATGATGTTCTGATGATGTCGGAGAGAAAGGGACAAGGCAACCATGTATCAGAACGGAGAGTGATCGTGGGTTGAAACGGTAACTTAGCAGAAGTATAGTTTCCACTTCCGATATCACTTTCTGTGTGTTTAGTTGCCTCCTTTCCGTCAAAATACATGTGTGACCAAGAAAAAACAAGGGTACTGTAGGTTGCGTGCAGGGTAAACCATGTAACGGCGTTGCCTTGTAATTCGTTGTCACGTCTTAATGTTGCAGATTGACTTTGGTCGTGATTTTGAAAGGCAGTTGGATTCGTATGTGGATGCTCGTTCATCGTTCTCGAATCTGGAAAGTGTCCTAGTAATGCTCGTTCAGGTAGTAGCAGACAAACAACCAAGCTTTGAATATTGGGTGTGGAGGTTCCCGGGTGACTAAGGTCCTGTCTTACCTTGATCTTTTTAACAGAGTGTGAACTTGCTGGCCATGAGGACTCGCCAAGTAGTAAAAGGAAATCATACTCGAAAAACCTCCTCATTTATCAGGGTAAGAATGCTCTATACATCAGCAAATTCTCTGAAGCATGACCGGGGCAAACAGTCCAAAATATCCTAAATCTTATTCTGAATTTTTGGTACATGTATTAATTTTCTGAACAATTGTCTTCTTGACCGAGGTTTTTAAAATTGTTTCCCCTTCTGTGAACATGGTTTATAGCACGGCAGTGGCTATCATAAGCGGATTCAGAGGGGGAGGTCTAGGGGCTCCCCCATAGCTGACAAATGTCCATTCTGCTCTTTCTGAATTATCTGGATCCGCCCCTGGCTATGATTAACCTTTCTTGGTTGAAATGTTAGGGGTCAATTTGTAAGTGTAATTGTAATTGTAATTGTAAAGAATTTGTAATTGTAATTTGTAATTATAATTTGCTCACCAACGGAGCACTTAGGAGTTCTTATGAACTCGTTGAAACGTGTCCGTGCGTTCGAGATCGAATTGGAATTTGAGCATGTTAGTTTTTGAGGAGAGGGGAAAACAGGAGTACCCGGGGAAAAACCTCTCGCAGCAAAGGAGAGCACAAACAACAAACTCAACCCACACATTGCGTCGACGCCGGGATTTGAACTCGGGCCACATCGGAGGGAGGCGAGTGCTCTCACCACTGCGCCACCTTGGCCCCCCTTAGCTATTTGCACAAATCATTTCTTATCTTTCCTGGCAAATCGTCGAAAATTGCGTACAGTCATTGTACATTAACCTGACTCCGCTCTCAATGTACCAGATTAAAGGAAAATATATTAAAAATAACCACTATGTAAGAGACACGGAACTAGGATTTAGCTTCTTTTGGAGTTTTAATTGTATCTTTCTACACTTCCGCAGGCTTGTGTGGCGTTCTGTTTCATCACTATCCCCTCCATAGATGATGTTTTCCTCCGCCTCAAACTCTACCTCCTGTCCGGGCAGGTTGCCATGGCAAACCAAGCCCTAAGTCAAGGTGAGCAGCGGTAAACAAAAACGCGACCAAACCAACTGAAACCTCACTGAAATACTGACCTCGCTTCTTCCAACCTTTTTGCGATTATTCCGTCTTGTTCAGTTTTCTGAACGTTGAGAGGGGAATGCGTCTGCGTCAAGACAGAGGCAGTAACATTTTTCGGCTTGCTATTCTCGTTCTCAACAATCCTAAAAGTTGCCATGGTTGTTTCAACATGTCGTAGTTGTGCAGAAGACGGCAAAGAAATTTACAGAAGAAAGCGTGTTGAAACCTGCAAAGTTTTTTTGAGCAATTAAACCATTGTTTTTTGACGCTCCCGATACCGTCGCCGTAGATGTTTCGCTAGGTCCCTATTTCAATGCCATACGAACAATTTCTAGGAGCGTACGGATTTTAGTACACGCCCCCGAAGCTAAAGGTTCCTGCGAATCCGATTGAACTATAATTTACCATGTTTTTTTCTACTCTTTCAGCGGATGCCTTTTTCAAGGCCTCCATTAGTCTTATTCCAGAAGTACCTCGTACGATTGGTAAGTCTGGGGCTCAGTATTGAGTTGTTGTCCTCTCCTTGATATTTCCTGATTCACAGAACGTTAAAGGGTTGATGATGATAGCATTACAGTGAAACCCTGCTCTACGGACACCCGCTTAATACGGACAGGTCATAAATTTTCTTTACAATTAACCGGCTTGTTACGGACACCTGTTAATACGGACAACGGACACTTTTCTGTATTCCGAGCCACAAACTCTCCTGTATTTTGAACCCCGCTTTTCGGACACTGGTTATCCGTGCACTGTCTATTCTCATTGTGTGCTAAATGTCAACATTGTACTCTGTTCAAAGAATGAATTTCTACGGGTTAATACGATTTTATTTCATTACTCAGCTCGTCTTTCGTCCGCTGTTTGACCCTACTACTGTGGCTCTTTCAAAAACGTTTTCTGCCTCCCATTAAACCATTTTCACTTGCTTGGCTTTCTCCTTCAGTCACTCGTTGCTCCTTTGTATCTTTATATCGATAACAAATGTGTCTGTGACTTTATTTTCAAAGAGCCCGCTTAATACACTCACCTGATTTTCTGAATTTAAGGGATGTTTGTTATAGTCTGATGGGTAAGGGCAGTACTTGGTACAACCTCATTTTAACACTGAGTGGATGCATAAATCCTTTTCATTTATCGCTAGCAAGCTGAGGAATAAGATATCGTTATTTATTAGAAGCTTCGATAATGTTTAAGTATTTGAAAAGGCTCTACAAAAGTTAAATTTAGAATCTCTGTACTAGCTTTTAACTTTTATTTGTAACTGGAGTGATTTTACTTAACCCGTGAAACAATATCTGACAGTTAGTGCCAAATCGTTACAAGCTAACAAAAGAAAACAATGAAATCAGAGTGTAATACTGCATAGTAGTCTACTATCTATTTCACCTTTGAAGTAAAATCACTGTAACTTATTTTATCATTACTACTATTTTTAATATATGAATATATATTTTTATGTTGTAAATAATAGATATTGGATCTTACGTAGTTTTAGTTTTTACTTAGGTCTTTTTCCTATATCACGTCCACGTTCGAAAGAGCTTTATTGTAAGCTCCTAGGTGTTTACGTGTACAAATAAACTACTTATTTACTTACTTACCCTGATAATAAGGACACTGTGGCGTGTCCCCTTGTTGTCCGTATTAACCGGATTCCACTGTAGTAGTCTTGGAAACTAAACAAATACTTTCTTCCGTTTAGCCACACCATATCGTTGACGAGAACGGTTTATTTCCAGAACGCATGATACAAAAGGCAGTAAAAAGGGACAAATGATGTTGATCTTCTGGATTCAGGGGGATTATTTTGCATATTTACTATTGGAAATGCGGGATACCTCTCTTGTTCCGTAGTGCGTCTAAAAATATTTCGTTATGATGGAACACCTTACGCCTAGTAAAGCACTTAAGGTTACTGTAACATCAGTAAACGTAAATGAGAGCAAAGTCTCCTTAGACTGATCTATTTATCATTTAGAAATCGATCACAAGGTGAAGCCCTCGGAACCATTCCTTGTGGAGTACATGAACAATTTCTTTTCCACTCTGTTGGTGGTGCCGGTAGGTGGTGTAGTACTTGTGTTATAGTTAGAACAAGCACTATTGCCTTATTCTTGTACTTGCAGCAGTATGAGTACGTCTCAGTTTTCAGAATATAAAAAGTCCTTCAGTTTTTCTGTTGTTAGTAATTTTATTTGTTTGTTTTCTTAAACTTTTGTTAGTCTGCTTATACGCAGTTCAAAATATGATTTATTTCAAATATTTCAGCTCAAGATCAAGGTGATTTTTATGTAAGAAGTAAGAGGGGTTGGTGTCAAAATATATCCATCCACCACTGTTAATTGAGCTGATCTTCGTGTTTTGTTGATTGTAGGATTCACCTGATCAAGGAGCTTTGTATCTGGTGCGAGGTCTGCTGAATGTTGTGCAGGAATACACCTGGGAGTTACATGGCGGCTCTAAAATGACCATTTATCTCAACGCCATTGGCCTTCTTTCCGCCATGAGTCAGGTTAGCTTTAGTTTTTTAGAAGACAGCCTCACTTCATTTTGATCGCCAGTTACAAAGCCACTCTGACCTGTGTCAATACCTTATTTCCCCAGGATTATTTCATCTATCACGTCGAAAAAGGTAGGAATTTTTTATTTGGACGCGACTGAAACACTCTCAATGTAAGATAAAACTCTGTCTATTGACACAAATTTTCTCTTTCTTTCTTTTTGTCCGCAGTGGATTCAAACGACCGACTTTACGGTTGTGACAAGAAGTTTCTGGCGGAAATCAGTCATATAGTTTCTACGTTAATGGAGGCAGTATTTGAGCATTTGAAATCTCTAACGTCTGACGAAGTAAGTGCAATTTGTCCATCAGTTGTTTGAAGTACTCTGTCTTACCGTATGTTTTGATGTCCTTAAATCAGCCTCAGTTTAAGAACTCACGCTTTGAGGATACGAAGGTAACAGATGAAATCAGAACCAAGGCTAGGTTGGGGGGTGGGGGTTGGGGGTGTTCTGTCATACTTTTTTTAGATCTCTTTTACGTTATACCCCTTCGCGTCAAAGGAAGCTGGAAAATAGAACGCCTCTGTAATAATTTGACGTCATGTTATTTGTTGTTCTGTATTTCCCAATTAGGAGTTAAAAAAGCAGGCGGCAATTGCCATTGGATTCTTTAACAGGTAAATGCTCAGTATCTTTCCGTAAACACCGCTTGAGTCAAAAATAAGAACCGATGACGTAGCTAAGTGGGGTCTGTTCTTGTTTATTATAAGGATGGTGTGCCACGCTGACCTTTTGCAGGCTCAGTTGCAAACCCTGGCGCTGAATTTGTGGAATCTCGCTCAGAAGCACGGTTTTGGCAACACTAAATACACAGTAAGTATTTCGCTGGGTGTATTAGTACTTTAAAATGTGGTTTTAATCTCGCAGTCTGAGTGAAATACTAAACTGTAAATATCTAAATGAGAGCAAAAAAAATTGCCTTTCATTTGAGTGTCAATGTATTTAGCACGGTAGTACTAATTGGGAACCGCCATTTTACTTGGTCATCCGAGCCACGCCAAGGTTTAGCCATTTGTAGGGCAAAGGTAGTGCTTTCATTTGTCAGTCATTTTAAGACCCTGAGGGTTGGTCCTGTCCCGGGAATCGAACCCGCGACCTCCCGCTCTGCCGTCAAGCACTCTACCGACTGAGCTAATCCTGCTGCGGCAATTGAACAGTGCTTTCCTTTGGAATTATCTCGAATCGGACGCTACATTATGCAGCGCGTACGCGAGTGAAGCGCTAAGAAAGGTTAAGTGAATGTTGTACATTGATGATCGTGTATTTGGACGTCAACAGGTTCGCACTTTGGAGTACGTAAAGCAGAAAGGAGCCTCTGGGAGCAAGGAATTTGCCGCGATAGCTCAGAAAATGAACCTGCAGTCAAGAGCCTGATACAAGTCCTCAGTGGAATTGAACCATTTTATTGATTAGTAGAAACAGTTTCTTGAGGACGATACATGTTTATACTACTGGCGGTGATTTAAATCCTTTTTACTAAGGGACCTGGGAAGATTTGAAGCCCCAGTCCGTTTGCTCAAGGTTGAACAGTGAATGAGTAATTGTAATGGTGTTGTTATGCCCAGAGATGCAAGTAATATCGAATTTTACAATTTGGCAAAATCTCACCAAATCTGTTTAACTGATACTCTGAGCTTGGTTAAATTTTCGTTATATTCACGGTGCCTCTTTCTTTACTAAATTATCTGTGTTTCTGGTGCTATCTGGCTTCATTAGTTAAAAAGTGAAACCAAGAAGACCATATAGGTACTTCACCTGGGGTCTGACAATGAAACTGCGGAAAAAAGGTTGTGATTGCGAAATCCCGTTCTGTCTTACTCACATTAGAGACTGAACTAACCCAGTCTATACCAGACTTATGCGCGCGCAGATCCAAACTACGGTGACACTGTGTTCCTTTGAATATTGAAAATAGTAACTTGATAGATTATTTTATTGATCAGATTTTAAATAGCTTTTTTGCATTGCAAATGTAATGTGTAAAAGAACAAAAATACAGTGTAAAATAATAACTTCAGTCTATTTTTACAATTAAAGAACGTGTTTCTTACTGAATCGTTTCTTGGTTTTGGGAAAGGGGGTTGGCTTTATCTCTTTTTGGTGCAAGATGTATTTTCCGGAGGGGGAATTTCTACGGGAGGTAGTTTGTGTCCACCCCAGCTGAAGATGCAGACGGTTAAGCCAGCACCTCATGCATGTACATACACTGCGGCCATGTGAAGTTTAAAAAAACCTTTTCCGAGAGAAAAGAGTTAAATGCCCGCCAAACTCCTTGCAGTAGATAAACTAAATATAATGAAATATTTCTGAACAGGACCCTATGCAATTCAATCTTTAATAATTTACCGCTTGCTTTGCTGGTTGTAATCTTTATAATATCATAAGTGACGAATTACTCCTTAATTTTGGCGCGAAATTTCAGCGTTAATTTGTAATTTCACATGTGAAATTACAAAATTGCCATGACAACCCGTCCGTACGTCTCAGTGTCAAGATGGCGACGAAGTTTTAAAATGCCGTGAATGAAGATGTCAGGGCACAAAAAGACGCTTTAGAAAACCTGAACACACAAGAGAACATCAAGAAGGATTCTAACAGGTATTTTGCCGAAAAAGTCTGAAAAATTCTGAACTTTATAAGCCAAATTTAAGGTCTAAACATTTGAGAGAGTGGAGTTCTCGATCGATACGATCCAGGATAAACATGTCAAGAATCCAAGATTGCTAACGTAATTCGTCACCCATGATATTAATAGGTAATCAAATGGTATACTCGTGAAATTAGGGAATAATTTCACTTGCGTTTTGTCCAAATCCTAATAATTTCCCGCGCCTTCAGGCGAGGGAAATTATTAGGATTTAGACAAAACGTAAGTGAAATTATTCCCTAATTTCACTCGTCACCATTTGATTACACTTATATTTCAAGCATTATTCTTTTTCTGAGGTCCAGATGGGGAATTAACATTTTAAGTCACGAAAGGGCATGCCATATTCGGGTTCTTTCGTATGTTTTTGGTAGTGAACAAAGGGCCATGCTGGAGGTGGGTTAGGTGGGGTTGACCCTAACCTCTAAGGAAATCGAAGGTCCTAATATGAAAGAAAGGATTTTTTGTCTGTTTGGTTGCAATAATACATAAATATATTTACCTTTTAGCTTAAATAATTAATATGTTCACTTTCAATTATTTGTTTATGTCCTTATCTAGTCTCTGGGACACAATAAAAAACACCTAGTTACCAGTATTTGTCATTTTTTTGTTTTAATAGTTAAAATTGTTTACGTACAGTGTTAAGATAACTTCGTTTTTTAAAATTTTGCGTTAGTTTTAGAATTTCTTTGTTTTAAATTTTTTTTCCCTTCCTGACGTAAATTTCCTTTATTACAAAGCAATTTTACCCTTAACAAAAGGTTATTTCTAAGTCGCGTTAATTTCAAATTAACCCAATGAACCCAATCTCTTATTTCCCATAATAAAATGGTTATTTTAATTCGCTGGTGATCGCCGATATCATTACGATCATGTCATACTATTCCTTTCTCTAAGATTCTATTTCGTATATGAACCCGTCAATCATTATTTATTACTCCGCCTGTATATATGATGCCGTTAGATTTTATACATCCCTTTCTTAACACATGATTAGTTCTTGCATATTTCATCTTCACTACAACAAAAGGAGAAAAAACGCGGAAAGTTCCGAAAGCCATTCTAAGGTACAGTCATTAAGACTGTCTATTAAGCAGGCGCGGCTATCTTTTGACTGTCCCAACGAGAGGTCTACCATTGTTGCAGGCCATCAATCGTTTGATAGACTTAGTTTGGATTTATTTTCAATTAATACAGTCCGAGATAGATGGTGACGACCGATTGTGAACCAGTAATGCTTCTCCCGTCGCGCGTTTGTTTCAAAATAAAGTGATGTTTCTGCTAAAGATTATGCTAATTTATGACGAACCTCTACTGAGCGGCCAACCTCCTCTATTATTAAAGGGTAAACTGTATTTTTCCAGCAGTTGTTGTTGTTGTCAAGAACAGTTATAACTGCTGCTTGAATATTTATATGCTGTGCGAAATTGTATTTGAAGATTGTTAGAATAAAGGCATGCTTTTTGTGAATCTCATTTAGCTATTTTAGTACATTAGTACTTAGCATAAGAATATTTATTTCTAAAGATATTTTTTGTAAGTAATTGTAAATTGTGTGCCATTTAAGGATTGTTTGAAGCAGTCTTGGGTATTAAATCAGGAGCACCCAGCGACGGTTTCCTCCTAAATACATTGAAAGCACTTTTTAGGCTATCCAGAGTACTTTTAGATCTCTAGAAATGCTTTCTAAGCGGTGCTATAAAATTTGTACCTGTTTGGTCATCCTAGGAGAACTTATTATTTTCCCGAAAATCCTAGATGCAATTCAACTTATTTCGAAAGTCAGAATTTTTCTGATACCTCTCTCCATCACATTTTTGAATCGGAAAGTTTTAGGCATCCTTTTTTGTACGAGAAACAGGCTAACTTGGGCGGTGAAATGTGAAAAATTAAACTTCAGAAAATCGTAGGGAATTTATTAGATAACCTTCGAAAATTGTACATGAATGGAACGGTCATCTAGAAATTTTCAGCCGTTCTCAAGTAATAGAAAATTCTAGGCAATATTTGTTTCTCCGAACAGATATTTTACAGGAAACAGTTGTTGGGTGCCCCGTGTAACTGAGCATAGTGCTATAAAAGTAAATATTATATTATTATTATCATTGCTAATACTCTCAGAAAAAGGTGTAAAATCTGGTTTTCATTGGCCCCGGGTGACAACCAGTTGCCTAGGGAAGCCAAGAAGCGTCGTTTATTTTACCTTTCCTCCCTGGCCTACATCTTGAACACTTTCCTAAGGATCCTCGCTGACCCCAGAAGGGCACATCATCTATGAATCAGTTCAATGGATGTGTCGGCACCTATGGTCCTCAGATTTTCTTTAACCTCAGCGGTATTGTCCCCAATGCCCCTACCACTATGGGTATTAACTTTTTCCTTACCCCTCACATTATTAGGATTTCTCAAGCGAGATCTTGATATTTTCTACTTTCTCGCCCTCTCTTGCTCTCACCCTTCCATCATCCAAAATTGCCACGTCTAAAGTTTGGCAGTTTTTCGCTTTTTTGTCAATGATCAATAGATCCGGTCTCCTAGCCTCAATGTCGTGGTCTGTTCATATACTAAAATCCACAGCATCTTGTAATCCTCATTTTATTTTCCACTTCTCTTTTTTGGTTCTTAATATTTTAGCTGACAGGTCCCAATTGGGATTGCTCTAGCTACGTTGTCATCTCTCTTTTTATATTCTTTTATTTTGTGCCAGTTTTGGATACGCACTTACAATATGGCTGATGGTCTCGTTGTTTTGTTTGCACAAGTTCTACATTTGGGATCGGTCTGTGTCCTGTCCATTGTTGCTTTTACATGATTTGTTCTTATTGCTTGATCTTGTGCCGTGCAATAATAAGAGACTCTGTTTCTCTTTAAAGCTCTCTTTCCTTCAACCAAGTCCATGTTTCATCGTGTCTTTGATCTTCACTCCGTCTCGCAAACTGCCCGTATAATGGCTTCTCTTTCCATCCTTGGATATTTTCAGTTCTCCTCCTGTCTTTGAAACTGGCAGCCGTTTCTTGGTTTTCAATTACTATCATTATTATTATTATTATTATTATTATTATTGTAGTTCGAATATGTTTGTGCTTGAAATTAATTTCTTTGATTTTATAATTGAAACGTTTTTAATTGAAATGAATTTTTTTTATCGAAATGAATTTTTTAATCGAAACAGTGTTTTTTTAATCGAAATGAATTGTAAATAGTGCTTTGACTAAATAAAAAAAAATTATCATTAATAAAATCTAAAATATATTTATTATTTATTATTATTGTTATTATCAACACGTGTTCAAAACAGGACGCCAAATAAACGTAAAGCTTGACAACCGTCCACGAAGTCGATTACGTTATTTTTTATCAGTTTTCTTTTGCGGATTGCAAAAAAATTCTAATCTGAATAGCATTAAAGACATTTTTCATAATTACTTTAAATTTTTACTTTTTCCTGACAACTCTATTTACAAGTATTCATAATAGGGATGATAGACTGTGTTATTCATAATTCCAAAATTTTCTAAATCCAAATATTATTGTAAACCCGTCATTCACTACTCAATAATTGCTTGTATTCATCATGATGTAGATGTTAAAAACCATTTTTAAGACAAATATTTACTTCTTTCGGGCCCATTAATGATTTAGCCTGGTAATGGGTCTATCTTGAGGCGGGGCTTTATCTTATTGTACAAGCTGTTGAGGTTGACAGTCACGATATCGCCTCGGGAATAGACAACACACAGGGTGGGATATAAATTCGCGAGCTTCGCTATCCTTCGTCCATTTTTCTTCCAGCATCGATCGTGATAGTCGCTAAGCCCAAATTTCTATTATGGAATAAACATTGATTGGAAAAAAGGGCCGCATCCAAACAATTTGGACCAACTCCGAGTTCCATTACTAACAGCTGACGCATTTACTAAATCCCTCGGTAAAAAGCATTGCCTTAGCGTGGGAGATCAAATTAGTGAAGATGACATAAGAGTTGAGGGGATAATGATAATAATTAAGATTACCTCATGTTAAATTTATAGTTTTTATTGCGCTTCGTACTTGAATACGATGTTCGGGCGCCAAGTAATAGTCTTGGTCTTGGGGCGTGACTAAAACTGACATTTTCTGCCTGGGAAGTAAGACGTTTTACATGATCCAAAAAGCATGAACAGTAAGTTTTTGTCAGGGTGATGCAAGGAATATTTTGATCGGCGACAAACTTTCTTTCTTCAGCTAGTCTCACACAGTTTGTTCCTTCGAGAGTATTAATAATTTATTGAATTTTAGGTGACACAAATGATGTGTGATGAAGTTCTTACCATTCGTCTGTTTCAGCAACAAGACATCAGTTCTATCGGCC